GGGTAAAAATAATTACGAAAAAGAAAACCGAGAAATCCAGAGAACTTACCTTTTTACTGCATATTGAAATTTGATAAATTTAGGGAACTGAAGCTATTGTGCTTCTTGAGGGTTTTAAGGTACCACTAACATGCCTCTTGTGTGAACTGAGATACTGGGAGGTGGAGTCATGCAGCACCACTGGGAGTAATCAAATTTGATAAGGAGAAAAGAAGAATAACTCTAATACCATGGATCAAGAGCCCTTCACCAACATACAGGCACCCCTTCCTTGAGGAGATACCGCTATACAGTCATTGACAGAAATCTGATTAAGGTTTTTATGAGGTTAATAGTATTATTATAGGTTAATAGTATTATTATAGGTTATTAGTATTATTATAGATTAATAGTATTATTATAGTTCAGCCGGTTATATGACTTGCTTTTCTCAGGTTTAATTACCTTTACCATTATTTCGCTTTTCACTTTCCTTCCAAGGACAAATTGACCTCAATTGTAGGCAAATTGATAGTCAATTATAGCTGAGATTATAAGAAGCCATCTCGATAAGCATAGCTTGATTAATGATACTCAGCATGGATTCACGAGAGGCCGTTCTTGTCTAATTTATTAACTTTCTTCAGTAAAGCTTTTGAGGCTGTTGATCACGATAAAGAATTTGATATTATTTACTTAGATTTTAGTAAGGCTTTTGATAGAGTTCAGCACCAAAGACTGTTAAAGAAAGTGGCAGCTCAAGGCATTCAGGGAAAAGTACTCTCATGGATCGAGTCATGGCTCACAGACAGGAAGCAGAGTGTCAATAAATGGGGTTAAATCCGAGTGGGGATCTGTAACAAGTGGTGTACCACAGGGATCAGTCTTAGGCCCATTGTTGTTTATAATATATATCAATGACCTTGATGAGGGTGTTACTAGTGATATGAGCAAATTCGCCGATGACACAAAGATAGGTAGGATAATTGATTCAAACGTAGATGTTAGGGAACTTCAGGAGGATTTAGACAAACTCTATTCTTGGTCAGAAAAGTGGCAGATGCAGTTCAATGTAGATAAATGCAAGGTTCTCAAGCTCGGGAGCATCCATAACCCTAGCACTTATAAGTTGTTATCAAATAAAGAAAGCCAAACAACTATACTACTCCAGTAGATTCACAGACACTAGAAGAGATATAAAAAAGACCTGGAAAACACTCTCTCAGATTCTAGAGACCAACAAACTGAAAAAAAACAAGAATATTGTCCTAACTAAACCTAATGAAACACCACTACATTCCACTGACACAGCTAACAAGACTCAACAATCAATATTTGCACATTACAGTTGTGACCGGGTGTGGAAGTGTGAATTGCTCATTACACTATAATTTGTTCATGATTGTAGCCATGTATAAACGTAAGTGACCATTCTTACAGTATTCATTACCTTTGCAACTTGTGAGTTCATTACCTTGTACCTAGTTCAGCCATCAAAACTTTGGGGCCCAGTCCCTGGACCCATTACGTACCTCTGTAATCTGTAAATACCTTTGTAACTTGTCATGATTGTGACTAGACCTACCTGGAGTTCATTACCTTTGTAATTCGTGAGTTCATTACCTTTGTAAATTGTGAATTCATTACCTCTGTAACTTGCTCAGCTATCAAAACTTTGGAGTCCAGTCCCTGGACCAATTATGTACCTCTGTAATCTTTTGACTACCGCCCACAGGATGGGTATGGGGTGCATAATAAACATATTAAACTAACTAACTAACGATCTAATCTCGCCAATAAAATTCCACATACCAATGCCCATGCTGGGGACTACCTAGATGGGAATTTCTCAAATTCCTTCTATCTTGCACCAACTGAGCCCACGGAAGTCACTGAGATTATAAAGTCACTTAAAAATAACTCAGGGAATCTGTCTCATGTCCCACCATTACTGTACAAGCAAGCAGCCCATGTCCTTTCGCATGCTATTTCATTACTTTTAACAAGTCACTAGAAACTAGCACCTTCCCGAAACTACTCAAGATGGCAAGGGTTACACCAATACATAAAGGTGGTGACCCTACAGACTTAAACAACTATAGGCCAATATCAAACTTACCATTGCTATCCAAAATCTTTGAGAAACTCGTGCACAGGAGACTATATTCATTTATAACGTCACAAAACATACTCAACCCCTGCCAATTTGGATTCAGGAAAAATAAAAGCACTAATGATGCAATCATAAAAATACTAGATCTGCTTTACACAGCATTGGAAAATAAGGAATATCCACTAGGAATTTTTATTGACCTAAGAAGAGCTTTTGACACAGTAGACCACGGCATCCTACTCCACAAACTTGACCATTACGGTATAAGAGGCCATGCGCTTGCTTATTTCAAATCTTACCTTACTAATAGGTATCAGTATATCACCATTAAAGACACAGCATCAACAACACGGCCACTTGATACTGGAGTTCCGCAGGGAAGTGTCCTTGGTCCCCTACTCTTCCTCATATACATCAATGATCTTCCAAACGTATCCCAACACCTGAAACCCATTCTCTTTGCTGACGACACGACTTACGTCATCTCTCACCCTAATCTTGCCACCCTCAACACCATTGTTAACGAAGAGCTGATCAAAATATCGACTTGGATGACAGCCAATAAACTTACGCTTAACACTGACAAAACCTACTATATTATGTTCGGTAGCAGAGCAGGAGATGCACAAATTAACATTAAGATCGACAACACTCTAATTACCAGACATAATGAGGGCAAATTCCTAGGCCTATACCTTGACAACAACCTGAATTTCAGCACCCATATCCAACACATAACCAAAAAAGTATTCAAAACGGTTGGGATCCTCTCCAAGATACGATACTACGTGCCGCAAAATGCCCTTCTCACACTGTACCACTCACTTATTAATCCATACCTCACCTATGCTATTTGTGCTTGGGGATCAACTGCAGCAACACACCTAAAGCCAACAATAACCCAACAAAAAGCCGCAGTAATAATAATCACTAAATCCCATCCCTGGCAACACTCCCCTCCCACTCTTCATAGATCTAAACTTACTCCCTGTTCAGTACATCCACACTACTGTGCAATCTACATCTACAGGACCTTAAACTCCAATATCAACCTTGACCTAAAACGCTTTCTTGATAGTTGTGACAGAACCCACAGGCATAACACCAGACACAAACATCTCTACGACATTCCCCGTGTCCGACTAAACCTTTACAAAAATTCAATGTATGTCAAAGGCCCTAAAATCTGGAACACCCTACCTGAAAACTCTAGAACTGCAGACACATTCATCACCTTCAAAACTACCATTAGAAAACATCTTATCTCCCTGATACACCCCGTCAACTAACTACACGAATACCACCTGGTGGTTCACACTTACACTCACTCACCCATTTGACCATAAACAGAAATATTAATCTCAATCTTAAAATAATGAATCCTGTGATACTCCAATACTGAAACTATGTACTGTGCCAAAACAAAAGCATTCACATTGCTAAACTCACAAACTAGTATTTAGTCACTTAGCCATAATACCAACTTACCTCATAATTTGTAATATTTTAAAATTAAGGATTAAACTAAGTCTGTCCGAAATGCCTAGCCATGCTAGGTGTTCTAGTGGTACACTCTGTAATCATTATTTTACTACATGTAAACCACACAATAACCAAATTCTGTAAACTCAGCATTGTAATCCTTATAGAGAATAAACTTTGAAATGGTATACAATACCGACAGGTTGGTAGATAAGACACATAGGCAACATTTAGGCAACTTTATTCCGAAACTACTCTACTACTACTACTCTGCACCTCTCCTTCCGACAGTATTTAAGTCTCAACACTGTCGCTTGATCTTCAGTTAGTTCCAGACTTTGGAACAGAACTTCTCCAGGCTGAGGACCTGACAACCTCTGAATACCTTCCATCCCCCCCCCCATAATTATAATAATAATAATTCAAATCCTCAACGATAAGATTTAACTATATTATTAACTTATGCCACACATTGCACTATTTCCATCGCATGCCAATGTTGATGTACTGAGGACCGGAGTTATGGTATATGGGGATACCTTCACGAATGTCGCAAAATACATAGAGTTGGTTGGTTGTTTAACGGTGTTTTAAGGTTATCGATTAGTAAATAAGTATGTTTATTTAGGCAAAGGTACACGTAAGTACAATTATCATAGTGTAAATTACCTAGGATAACCCATAAATGTCGAAGTGACCCTTACATAGGGGTCTTGAAAGCTGCACGGTAGCTCCTTCGCTACCAGACAAGAATACTTTAATCCCTAAAGTATGGATTAAAGTAAACTCGCAGCATATATACGCTGTATATACACTGTATATATGCTGCGACTGTATATCTCTGCATAGAATTATTTTTTGTTGTAGGTAAGTACCACTCCAGCCTGAGCCGTATTAAGTTATACATCCTGTGCAGAGCAAGACGACTTCACAGGTGACCGGTCCACTGAAACAAGAAAAAAATTAGAAATTCGTACCGCGGAAAAGGGATGATTTCGCGACTTAAGCAGAATACTAAACCGACAAATCATTAACTAGCTCCACTAAATATAAATAGGTTAATTAAGGTAGTGATGGCCAGATGAGAGAGAGGCTCGTGGATGGACTAGCAGGGTGTGGTGAGTAAAGGTGAGTGAAGGTAAGTGAAGGTAAGTGAAGGTGAGTGACGGTAAGTGAAGGTGAGTAAGTGAAGGTGAGTGAGTGAAGGTTAGTGAATGAAGGGGAATAAGTGAAGGTGAGTGAGTGAAGGTGAGTGAGCGAAGGTGAGTGAAGGTTAGTGAGTGAAGGTGAGTGAAGGTGAGTAAGTGAAGGTGAGTAAGTGAAGGTGAGTAAGTGAAGGTGAGTGAGTGAAGGTGAGTGAGTGAAGGTGAATGAGTGAAGGTGAGTGAGTGAAGGTGAGTGAGTGAAGGTGAGTGAGTGAAGGTGAGTGAGTGGTCTTGTTTACACACACAGCTGCTGGTGGCCTGGATGGCGCACCTCACGTGCGCTCACACATTTTTCTTCCCTTCATTTTTGTTTGCAAGTCTTGCTTGCTACAAGCAAGTCCTGGTGACTGGACACACACCCGTGACGATTTTAATAATGTGAGTAAACTATAATTAATCTAAATTGTAATATTGTCTTCCCATTGGAATTACGAAATTGTTGTTAACATTCCGTGTGTTACTTGCTTAAAATAAATTAACTAACATTTGCATGAAATGGCAAAAAAGGCAGCTGGTGTGGTGCTGCGTAACTGGTAAGAGCATGAGACTCAAGCTCAAGGTCCCGGGTTCGATTCCCTGGCGCAGAGAAACATATGGCTCAGTTACCTAACGTTCCTGCTGCCACTACCTATCTCTCGGGTAAGATAAAATGAGATTTCTTCGGAATTTTAACCCCGGAGGGTTAGCCACCCGGGATAACTCAGGAAAGTCAGTGCATCATTGATGACTAATTTATTTCCATTGTGGTCCTTTCAGTGTTGTCCCCCAGGATGCCACCCACACCAGTCGACTAACACCCAGGTACCTACTTACCGCTAAGTGAACACGGACAGCAGGTGTAAGGTGACTTAACTAACATCCCGGTACCTACTTACTGCTAGGTGAACAGGGAAAACAAGTGTAAGGTGGCATCATCCAGGTACCTACTTATTGCTAGGTGAACAGGAACAGCAGGTGTAAGGCGACTTAACTAACATCCAGGTACCTACTTACTGCTAGGTGAACAGGAGCAGCAGGTTTAAGGCTATTTAACTAACACCCCAGTACCTACTTACTGTTAGGTGAACAGTGACAACACGTGTAAGGTGACTAATACCCAGGTACCTACTTATTGCTAGGTGAACAGGAACAGCAGGTGTAAGGTGACTTAACTAACACCCAGGTACCTACTTACTGCTAGGTGAACAGGGACAGCAGGTGTAAGGAAACATGTCCAGTGCTTCTACCCATGTCAGGGACTGAACCACAGACACTCAATGTGTGAAGCAAGACCATTTCCAACTGAGCCACGTTAACTGACTGTTGTGGGTTGCATCCAGGGAAAAGCATATATTAGAAAACCTCCAGTACCTGATGGAAAGATTTAAGTGGTGACCAAAAGGTATCAGTGTACCTAATGATGTTAATACAAAAAAAAAAAAAATGAAAATGCATGAAGGAATGATTTTTTGCAAGATGATCTAGTAAGATTTTGATGAGGTGTTATATGCACAACATATTTTTTACACTGGTCCTGATGGTACACAGTTTTTATGGGCAGTTATAACTATATAGATTTAGTCTAGGATAAGAATGCAAGTGATGCCACTGACCTATCCAAATCGTTGATTGGTTAAAGGACCCCAATGGAAATAAGCCACTCTGACTTTTTTGGGTTATCCTAGGTTCTCTACACATATGCTGCTATGTATGATAGTCTATGTAACTGTATTTGTGTATACCTGAATAAACTTACTTACTAACTAGAGGAAGTCTCGGGTATCTTTCTACTGGCAAAGAGTTCTCCCATTAGAAAAATCATTAGCAGGCTCTAACCTAATCTCCTGTATACGAACCTAAGCTTAAATTGTGTTGTTGGACAACTCTCAATTGCATTTTAATAAGTTGCCGAACTTTCTACTGTATAAGTCGCTGATATCAGTGATCTTAAATGTCAAACATTTCATGTAATAACTGAGGTAACCAAGTAAAATCAAGCAGTATGACTTACTTCCATTGGGCTTCTTATTCAGGTGCTGTTGCTGACTGGTATTTTAAATTATTACATTGAACATAATATAATACAGGAGGAACACTGCAGCAGGCCTATTGGCCCATACTAGGCAGGTCCTTCACAGATCCATCCCACTAATAGAATATTTGCCCTCATAAGAACATAAGAAAGGAGGAACACTGCAGCTGGCCTACTGGTCTATGCGAGGCAGCTCCAATTCTCCCCACCGGCTTAAGCCAGTGCCTTGACCTAGTGAGGTCAGACATGTCACTCAAGGAAGGAGCACTGCATCCGACCTAGTAGCTAGTCAGGTCCAACTCACACCCACCCACACCCACTCATGTATTTATCCAACCTATTTTTAAAACTACACAATGTCTTAGTGTCTATGACGGTACTCGGGAGTTTGTTCCACTCATCCACAACTCTTTTTACCAAGCCAGTGCTTTCCTGTATCCTTCCTGAATCTGAATTTTTCCAGTTTAAAGCCATTGCTGTGAGTCCTGTCAATGTGAGATTATTTTAGAATGCTATTTACATTCCCTTAATTCCTGTTTTCCATTTATACACCTCAGTCATATCCCCCCCTAATTCCACGCCTTTCTAGAGAGTACAGATTCAGGGCCCTCAGTCTTTCCTCATAGGGAAGATTTCTGATACATGAGATCAACTTTGTCATCCTCTTTTGTACGTTTTCCAGAGCATTTACATCCATTCTGTAATACGGTGACCAGAACTGTGCAGCATAATCCAAATGAGGCCTAACCAAAGATATATAGAGTTGCAGAACAACCTGAAGACTTCTATTATTTATACTTCTTGCTATGAAGCCAAGGATTCTGTTAGCTTTATTGCAAACACTAATGCACTGTTCTCTTGGTTTCAGATTACTACTAACCAGAACTCCTAAATCCTTTTCGCAATCCGTAATATTAAGATCTACATTATTTATTTTATATGTGGCATGGTTATTTTCCTGTCCAGCATTTAGAACATTTGTCCATATTAAATTGCATCTGCCACTTCTCCGACCACTGCATGAGTTTATTCAAATCATCCTGGAGTGCTCTAATGTCCTCATTAGAATGAATTAGACAGCCTATTTTGGTGTCATCAATAAATTTACTTATGTCGCTATTTATTCCCTCATCTATGTCGTTTATGTAGACTGTGAACAACAAGGGGCCAAACACTGACCCCTGTGGAACACCGCTTGTGACGTGCCCCCATTCTGATTTCTCCCCATTTATGCAAACTCTCTGCTGCCTATTTGTCAATCATGCCTCAACCCAGGAAAAAATTTCTCTTATTCTGTGTGCCTTAAGTTTCCTCAGTAGCCTCTGATGTGGAACTCTATTGAAAGCTTTACTGAAGTCCATATACACAATATCATATTCATTACCATGATCTGTGGAACTCTATTGAAAGCCTTACTGAAGTTCATATACACAATATCATATTCATTACCATGATCTGCCTCCTCAAATACCTTAGTGAAGAAAGTCAGTAAATTCGTAAGACAGTAACGCCCCTTTGTAAAACCATGCTGAGATTCATTAATCAATTTATGCCTTTCGAGATGGCTGCGAATTGCTTCAGCAGTTATTGATTCCATAAATTTTCCCACTATGGAGGTAAGGCTTATTGGTCTATAGTTTGAAGCTAAAGACCTGTCACCTGCTTTGTAAATAGGTATTACATTTGCCATTTTCCATTTATCAGGCACTATGCTAGTTTGCAGTGATATGTTGAAAAGATTAGCCAAAGGCATGCTAAGTTCCTCTTTACATTCCTTTAACACCCTTGCAAACAGTTCATCAGGGCCTGGGGATTTGTTAGGTTTTAATTTCTCTATTTATCTGAAAACCATGTCACTAGTTACTGCAATCGTGCATTGTTTATTATCGTCCCGTTCTACGTAATATATTATTTCTGGAATTTCGCTAGTATTTTCCTGGGTAAAAACTGAGAGGAAGTAAGTATTGAAAATTTCACACACATCCTTATCACTATCAGCTATCTGACCAGAGTTACTCTTAAGTGGGGCTATCTTGCTCCTAATCTTACTTCTGTATACCTGAAAGAACCCTTTTGGGTTAGCCTTCGAATCCCTTGCAACCTTAGCCTCATAATCCCTTTTTGCTTTTCTTATTCCTTTTTTTTATTTCTCTCTTTAATTGAATATATTGATTTCTTAACTGCCCCTCCCCTCTTTTGATATGCCTATATATGCCTCTCTTTTGACCAAGGAGATGATGTAATCTATTGTTCATCCATTTGGTATCATTTCCCTACTCGGAACAAAAGTTGTCTGGGCAGCTATAACTATGCTTTGAAAAATGTCATATTGGCAACCAAGATCACCTACCTGACCCATTGTCAGGACATCCCAATTTAGCCCACCCAGATAATTTTTCAGTCCCATGAAATCGGCCAAGTGAAAGTCTGGGACAGAGATTTGATTGCAGTTATCCGGGTAATTCCATGATATATTGAAACTAAGGGATTTGTGATCACTTTCCCCAAGCTCGTCATTAACCTCAAGATTATTAACTAGTGATTCTTTGTTGGGAAGTAGATTGTTTCCTCTAGTTGGTTCTGTCACAAACTGTTTTAAAAAGCAATCCTGAACTGTATCAAGAAAGTCACTAGACTCAAGATTTCCTGTCACATTGTTCCAATCAATTTGTCTAAAGTTAAAATCTCCCATTAACACATTTTCATATTTAGATGCCTTATGAATTTCGTCCCATAGCAGCTTACTGCACTCCCTGTCAAGGTTTGGGGGCCTATAAATCACACCCAAAATTAACTTTTCACGACCCTCGAGAAACTGTAGCCAAACAGATTTCTGTGTCTGATGTTTCTAATCTTATATCTTGTCTAAGACAACAATTTAAATTATCTCTGATGTACATTGCCACTCCACCACCCTTCCTGTTGACCCTATCTGTATGGAATAGTTTATAACCCTGTATGCTGCATTCAGAAGGCATTTTGCTATCTTTCAAGTTGAACCAGGTCTTTGTTATAGTAATAATATATATATTACCTGCACTTGCAAGTAATCTTAGCTCCTCTGTCTTATTTCTTAAACTCCTACTACAGGGGAGCTAGTCACTCGTTGCCCCCTACTATCTCTCTTTGTTTGTTGATCAGTTAATTTGCCTTTACTAACAACTTTATTTTGAATATTGTCTTTTAAGCATATCCCTGAGGTATTCTGGTTATATCTGCTGTTTTCAACCCTAGTACTGCAGCCTGATTGTTTCCCACAGACACCCATACTTCTATAATATATCAGTTTAAAGTCCTAGACAAGTCACCAATAACCCCCTCAATCGAATTGGCTAATGCAACCACTCCAGCCCCAGAGAGATGAACC